GGGGGGGGGGGGGGGGGGGGGGGAGGCAGAGGCATTACCTGAATCCCTGGATTCTTCCTGCTGCAGCATTGGGAAGGAGACAAATTCAAGGCAAACCTCCATTAATTAGACTTTATACCAGGAAAATTATAACAAATCTATACAGTTTCCATATATAGAATCTAATTAATTGGGAGGTTGTCTTATAATATCCAGGGTCATTTTATATTCTAATAAATATGGTATTTATTTCAATTTGATCACAGCAGTAAAAAAAAGAATTGTAAGCATTTATTAAGAAAAACTAGGAATACGTGAATTTGTAATAGAGAAAACTCTACAAAACACTAACGAGGCCAGTGCTGTACAGATCAGAGTACTGGGCAATGGAGGAGCAGCAGCTGTCCATGGAAAGTGACAGAGGTGAGGATAATGGGGTGGATTTCTGGAGTCAGCAAGAAAGATCACATAGAAAAAAGAGATACCACAGTAGGCAAAGGTGATATGAACAGTGAGAGTAGACGGATAGATGCTTGGTCACATAGCATAAGGTCTATAAAAAAAACAAAAAAACCAAAACCTAGTAGGAAACTTTTAGAACACTCCTAAATGTTTTTAAAAATTTAAAGTACCTGATAAATTTGCTTCACAAGCATATGTGCAATAGCAGGGGGCTAAAACAAAAATGTATCTGTATTAATAGACTAATTCCAATCTGTGCTAACTGTGCTTTAAATCTACAAGAAAAGCTCAAAAGAAAAAGGCAATCAGCTTGAAAGTAAAATTTCAAGGTCTGTACTTTGTTTGCCTTTAGTAGGGGTACACTGATACAATTGGTTGGCTATCGGATCAGCACCAATAAAAGGAGAGATTACATTATCGGTCATAGGCTTTTTTTGTTCGTTGTAGTTGATAATTACAGCTGTGTGCCCAGAGCATCCAGGCAGGTGTAGTCCAGTCCCCATGCCCCCCTGGTGGCCGGAGCCCAGGGCAGACTACAGGTCCTGGTGAGCAGTGGGAGGGGGAAGGGTGCCAGGGAGCCGACACAGGGTGCTGTGTTCAGCAACACAGGGACCATTGCTGGCTCCTGCTGCCACCACAGCAACACCACGTGAAGCAGGGGCCGGAGCACCAGGGCTGCATGTTGGCATGGTAAGGTGGCATGAAGGACATTGTTCCGCAGGGCACCAGGTGCCCTTGCAATAGTGGTTTCTCCCTGGCAGCCACGGGAGTTTGGCTGCGCAGGGCCTACCAGTGCTTGAGGCAGAGGTGCATTCTGGGACTCCAAATGCATCCAGTTCATGTGAGGGTTGTTCCCACCCTCCCGGGACGGTAGCATGGGCTGCACAGGAAGTGGGTAGGAGCTGTAGTTGAGGCGGGAATGTGCATGGGCTGGAGCAGGCAGGAGGGATGTGTGCGCTCATTAAAAGAATGCAAAAAAACCCAACCAAACAGTCTATGCCAGTAGTTTAAAATGCCTTGCACTATTACTAAATATCAGTTATCAGACTGGCACTCACAGTCATTAGGGCTGGAAGGGACCTTGGAAGATCATCGAGTCCAGCCCCCTGCCCCAGGGGCAGGAAGTCAGCTGGGGTCATGGGAGCCCAGCAAGATAAGCATCCAAATTTCTCTTGAAGGCGTTCAATGTGGGTGCTTGAACCACCTCCAATGGCAGGCTATTCCAGACCTTGGGAGCTCGGATAGTAAAGAAATTCTTCCTTCTGTCCAGCCTGAAATGGTCTTGCTGGAGTTTATAACCGGTTGACCTTGTCATCCCTTGGGGTGCTCTGGTGAATACCCCTGACAAACTTATAGGTGGCCATCAGATCACCCCTGAGCCTGTGCCTTTCCAGGCTAAAGAGCCCCATAGCTCTCAGTCTGTCATTATAAGGTCTGTTTTC